TTTCAAGAACTCTGACCTAAATGAACATTTTAATCAGTCTCCTACCCATCTTCGGCAAAAAAAAAAAAAAAGTCGCAAAATAAATACCGAAATATTTTTTTTTTGTGTTCCATCACATCCCAAAGATCTGCTCTCAGACAAGCAATATGGCTTCCAAATGTTTGCCCGAAATATAGATCGGATATATATATATCAAATGTTTTAATAAACTGAATATACCAAACTTTTCAAAATAACGGGGGAGCTCGACATTATGGCCCCAGACATCTATCAAAAATGATAGGGTTTGGCATGAGATTGATGATTTATAAAACAAGCTCCAGGGTTAAATTAATGGGTCGATTGTTTGACCAAATACAATCATAAAATTCGAATCAAATATTGAATTAATTGAAAATTTTCGTCAGATATTCAACGGATTTTTATAACAATTTTCCTATCCCACGAACGCATGGTTTGTGAAAACTTTCCAAAGAAAAAAGGCCCTACTTTTAAATTCATCAATTTATAATGAATATTTTCCTGACGCCATAAATTCCCAAGTTTTTGCACAAAATACGCGGATGACATCACAATTTATAATATATATATTTTAAAAAAACAAAACTTGCTTTCTATTAATCACCACAGAGATCATTTCCTTGCCCTCCATTAGAATGTCTGACGCTCAACTTCTCGAGAGCAACTCTCTGCGGCTGCTCGGTCTCACGTTGACTGCTGACCTGAGATGGAACAAATACATTGAGTCAATTGCTTCGTCCACCGCAAGGAAAGTTGGCTCCCTGTGCCGCGCCAGGAAATTTTTCTCCCGGAATCGATCCTCCAGATCTACAAATCAACAATTCGCCCTTGCATGGAGTATTGCTGCCATATATGGTCTGGAGCCCCTTCTGTTTGCCTCGGGGTTCTTGATAGGATCCAGAGGCGGATATGCAATATAATTGGCCCTGTTCTGGCATCTCGTCTACAGTCACTTTCTCACAGACGCGCCGTCGCCTCTCTGTCTTTTTTACAAATACTTTCATGGCAATTGCTCCGAGGAGCTGCATTCGCTGGTTCCCAGACTTCATGAGTTCAAGCACCCTACGAGGCTGGCATCCCGCTCTCACCCCTTTCACTGTCGAAACTCTTAAATGTAGCCGTCTCTTCTCTCCAATAGCTTCATGTCTCGCACCTCTCGCCTGTGGAACTCCCTTCCCTATTCCAGTTTCCCTGAGAGCTATAATCTCCAGCTATTCAAATGTAATGTCAATCGACATCTCCAGTTGCCTTGATCTATCCACTACCCTTCTCCTCATCCTTTTTCTTCTATCACTCCTATCTGATCTTGCTCCAAATTTTCTGTAACCCCTTGCGTCCTAGTGGCTTCTCGCCTTGCTTGGGAGAAGTGGAACATGATCGACCACGTCCTGACGGTACACAAAACAGAAAAAGAAAAAAATGTCAACAGAAACTGAAGAAGATAGTGTTTTTTACAAAATGCGATACCAGTGAAAACAATAAAACCAGGACCACATCTACAAAAGTCTTGTCTTTTCGTGTAGTGGAATATGAAAGGTTTCGTCCATTACGAGCGAGTGGTACATTGATGGCGCTTATTTTCAGCGATTTGCACGGGAAAACGAAGCATTGTACCATTAGCGGTAAACAGAAAAGCTGTTATTCTCCAGCCTAAAAATACCGTGGGAGCATTCTGCAAAACAGTTGATCGATGAGAAGAGAGGATCTTCCATACTCACTAGATTTAGCACCTAGACGTATTCATTTATTTCAATCATAAGAACAATCCGTAAATGGCAGAACATTCAAAAGCAAGTTGAAAACAATGTTTAGAAAATGTTTTATGGGTAAAACAGATTTCTTTAAACGTGGAATAAAAAAATACCTTCCTTTGGGCAGCAATTATTTAAAATTAAGGTGATTACATTTTTGATTAGCAGCCATACCCAGCTGCTCGATCAGAAAAAAGCATTTAATTAGAATGGAGCAAAAACAGCATCATGTTTAGATGTAACAAGGTCTGTCTACTTCAATTACTTTAAAATACTTTCATTAAAAATCATTTTGAATTACTGCAGTTACTGAATTAGTCTATTTATTCAACTGAAGTTAGCTGAGGACATGAAGGGGTAGAACAGGCAACATGAAGACCCACTTCAGACCATAATTATTTTGAAGGTTTTGAAATTCAATTTATCAGTGTGCTACCAGGGATGTAAAAGATGATACATTTATAAAACAATTGTTAAGTTTGATGAAAATTGGTTGAAAGATAAACGAAAAATAAGAAAGAAACCAGTAAAAATCGCTATTTTTCGCTATTCACTATATAGGTAGACTCAATAATAAAGTTAAATGACTGCTAAACAATCAACTTATTGTTGGCTACAATTGCGTTAAGTTTGTATTAGATAGCTTGAAAAATTGAGGGAGTTTTTAGCTTAAAATTTGTGTTGAAATCGATTTTTCGTTTTTCGCGGTTTTTCGCTAAACGCAGCAGAAATAAAAATGATTTATCAGTGACCTTGTCATGATGTAAGTAACCTACATACCGAGTTTGAGCGAAATTAGAGGAAAAAGATAAATTTATCGATTTCTGATCGGCTTTATCGATTACTGCCTTTGTAAAAATTATCGATTTTTTAAGCTAAGGACCTTCCCCTTACTTGGTACAATGTATGTGCCAAGTTTGGTCAAAATCGGTTGGCAGGATCTCCAGTGAAAAGGTATCACACGGACAGACATACAGACATACAGACGTCCTCTGTTTTATATATATATATATATATATATATATATATATATATATATATATATATATATATATGGATAAATAATATTTAAATAAATTTAATTTATATTTGCTATCAATTCTTTCTTCCAACACGTAATTACATTCTGAACAGTCTAATAAAACATATGAGCGAAGAAATTTATCAAATAAATATTTTTTTAATCAAATTCACCACAAGCAAGGTAATAAAGCCACTAAGAAACAATGGATTACTGGGTGCGAAAGAATTACAAAAACAAACATTACTAAGGAGCGAGAACAAAAGAAAAGTAATCAGGATAGCGATTGACATTGCATTGAAATTTTGAAGATCAAAGTTGACCGGAAAGCATGGATCCGGAAGAGAGTTCCACAAGCAAGAAGTGCGAGAAGTTACGGTTACGTCTAGCCAACTAAACTGTGTATTTATTAGACCGTGCCGTCTATGTAGTACTGCGCTTATATTCATAAATTTTAGGTACCATATCAAAGAGCCCATTTGAACAATTAGCATGAAAATAATTATAGAAAGGGCACAGAGAAGCAACATTACGGCGATGGAAAGTGACTGAAGACGAGACGCCAGGTCAGGACCAATAATGTTGCTGATTCTTTGGATTTTATCAAGAAGCCATAAAAATATAGAGCAGCAGCACCAGACCATATGTGGCAGCAATATACAAAGCATGGGCCAGTGGCAGACACAAATAGGTAAGATAGATTCAGGAGAGAAACATTCTCTAGCACAACACAGTAAACCAACTTTCTTAGCAGAAGACCTAGCAATGGATTCAATATAGTCTTTCCGTTTCTTGTCACTCGATCATATTAGCTCGAGAATACCCAACGAGTCACTCTCATGGGGATTAGTATCAGCCAGACTGATAGGAGATAGCGAGGGGCCATTCAGGTGATTAAGAACAGGTCATTTCGTTTTGGAAGTGTTAAAATTAACAAACCATTCCTTGACCCCATTAACAACAGACTGTAGCTCATTTTGTAGATCAGTTGCCAATTTGACCTTTCTCGAACTGATCAGGCTGACCGTAAACACGGAGTTATTCTTAGGCTGACTCATTTATAGTAGGGTTATATGCTAGGCAACGACAGTTTATACCCTTGGGAGATAAAATGGGCTAGGCTAAGTCTTACGGTTGAGTAATGGATAGCGGTTCGGTTGGAGGAATCGAAGAGCCGTGTTCAAATTCCAGTCAAATCAATTACATTCACTTACGGGAGAGGTATGAATCCTATTCTTCTCCCCCTCCCAAGCTATGGGTAAATATCAGGACAGACAGAGTTCTGTAGCCTTGGATGGCAACTGGTCTACCGCAGAAATAAATGGCAACCTACTGCGGGAAAAAAATCTGCCTCGTCAGTCATGTATCGAAATATACAGGATCGCTTAACTGTGTATTACGTATGGCACATAGCTGGCTGACTGATACAAACGAGGGCACACAAATATTTGTGAATATACCCCAGACGAGGCTAGATATATATATTATGGAATCTCTCGTCGTTTTCAATGTATGAGTGTCTTCAGTTCAGTCTTTTTATGTTTATGTTTCGTATGAGACAAAAATCCTGCATGGGATTTGCAAACAAATCCACGCAAAGGGCATGCTGAGGGGTTGACTGTCATATGGGTTGATGTATTAACCCGAGATTTAGTGTTAATTCTTAATTCTCTCAGATGGTTCAGACGATTCTTTGTATCTCGTATGTCGCCAGTTTGCTCGGCTTTCAACAGCAAGTTGGAACTCCTCTATAGGGATGTCTGCACCAATTAATATATATATATATATATATATATATATATATATATGTGTGTGTGTGTGTGTGTGTGTGTGTGAGAGAGAGAGAGAGAGAGAGAGAGAGAGAGAGAAATAAAAAGTGAGAATGAGAGTGTGACAGTGAGAGTGGGAATGTTGTTTAGCCACCTATCAACCTCTATGGTTTGTTTAATGCCGAAATGTAAGTATTTTTAAGACAATCTTTTTCAGATAATAATGGTTTTAGTGATACAAATCTTACTAATTAACCCATAGCTGGGGGAGAAGATGTGGACTCAAAATAACGAACACTATTGGAACTGGAACTCATCTCTCCAATGAACAATTCCGAAGCATTGTCCTTTACACCACGCGCTTACCCCACCTGGTATTCCCATGCGGTCTCCCGTCAAGGTACTAACCAGGGTCGACTTGAGTGCTTATACGGTATTTCAAAGTGTGTGTGTGTGTATGAGAAAATGAGAGAGAGAGAGAGAGAGAGAGAGAGAGAGAGAGAGAGAGAGAGAGAGAAAGACAGGCAGACAGAAAGTGTGTACCTAAGTATAGAAAGAAAGATGGAAAAAGAGAACAAGGGAATATATCAAAAAATGTCTTTTGCAAAAGCAGGTCCGTCGCCAGTGTGTTTGAGTGGGGGAACGGAATTTAAAATCAGGGGCAAGTAAGTGTTGGAAACTAAAATTCACAAAATTACCACTTGGAGGGAGGGAGAACAACCCCTAACTTTGCGACCGGTCCTCGAGAAAGATATTAAAAACGAAGAATTTGGAAAGAATTGATTCGTTTTCTACGGCTTATCAAACCTTTGTATGTTAAATATTTGTAGATTGTAAAAATTCTTTGGGCGGGGGGGGGGGTAATAATGATTTAATGATGCAAGTTTTACTAATTAACCCATAGCTGGTGGGAGAAGAGCTGGATTCTTATCTTTCCCAAGGGTATTTGCCCGTGAAAGAATATAACGAACCTAACAGGAACTGGAACTCTCCAATTAACAATTCTGAGCTGTTATCCATTACACCACCTGCACATCCAAGGCTACAGGACTCGGTATTCTGAGTTGGTCACCCCTCTAGGTACTGACCAAGCTTGACGTTGCTTAGCTTCATGATCGTACGCGAACCGGTGTTTCAACGAGATGCGCCCGGAAGCTTTGTTTAGAGAGAAGGATTGAGAAAATAAAATAATGGATATGAGTAGGGGAGAGGTAAATAACTTAAAAGTTGTAGACGCCCCACATAAGCGCATGCGCACACCATCAAGAAACAACTATTTCGACAGTCCCAAACAAGAGTACGGTTGATTTGTTCTCCTGAACCATTTCAGGGAGTGGAAAAGTTGGTGCGCTCGTTATTCTCCACTCTTTCCCTACCCAAAGCCGAAATGGCGGTCTTCTCCCCCAACTGTAGCCCGTGGGTCGAAACCTGGCTGCACCTGCGCCGTCCTGCGTCAATACAAAGCGAACACAAGCTTCTGACACTTGCTCGATTACCCTTCCGCCTAGTCAGCTTCCTGATGGAGACGACAGCGGTTCTACGACGCCTGTTAGTTACATCGACCCCACCCTCGGCTGTCCCTTTGCCACCAACTGCCACTTTACGATAGACAACGTTTTACCATTTGATAGCTGTTGTAGTTACGAGATCTTTACGCGCCCCAGTTGAGCCGTAGTATCTATTTTAATTTTCGATAAAACTCTTGCTCATCTGACGAATTAAAAGCTTATTCGATGAAAGTAATTCCAAATAAAACACACACACACACACACACACACACACACACACACACACAGACACGCACACACACCATTTGAATGAACAGATAGGCATTGCAATCAGAAACAATCTTTTTTTAAAATTCTATTTTCATCTGACAAGAGATTAAAAAAAAATAATTTAAAAAAAATAAATAATAATAATATTTTATAATTTTATAAAATTGGGGTAAGTGTTGGAAACTAAAATTCACAAAACTTAACAATTCTGAGCTGAATTAAATAAAATAACGAACCTAACAAGAATTGGAACTCTCCAATTAACAATTCCGAGCGCATCTCGTTCAAACACCGGTTCGCGTACGATCATGAAGCTAAGCAACGTCAAGCTTGGTCAGTACCTGGAGGGGTGACCAACTCAGAATACCGAGTGCTGTAGCCTTGGATGTGCGGGTGGTGTAATGGACAACAGCTCAGAATTGTTAATTGGAGAGTTCCAATTCCTGTTAGGTTCGTTATATTCTTTCACGGGCAAATACCCTTCGTCTGAACCATCTGAGGGAATAATAATAGTATGCTAAGTAAATAAATTGTAATTTGCCCCATCCCCTCTACGGAAGCTAAAACAAATATATTCATACAACGTAATTTCTTAAAATTAACAAGTACTTTTTTTTAATTCGTAAGTACTTAATCGATAGCCAGTCAGTTATGTGCCATGCGTGATACACGCTTGGGCGATCATGTATCTTTCGATACATTACTAACGAAGCAGATTTTTCTCCGCAGTAGGTTGCCATATCTTTCTGCGGTAGACAAGTTGCCATCCGAGGCTACAGAACCCGATCTGTCCTGCTATTTACCCATGGCTGAGGAGAGAAGAAGAGGATTCCTACCTTTCCCAAGGGTATTAGCACGTAAGTGAATGCAGTGGATTCGACTGGAATTCGAACTCTTCTCTCCGGTACCACAATCTGAGCCGCTATCCATTCCACCACCGTAAAAAAAGCACTCCAGATTACTAATTTCAAAATTCAGTTGGGCTTATGGCCACATCACGTTGAAACACCGTTTCCAGTACGAATACCGAAGTTAAGCAACGTCGATGAGTAACCGCTTGGGTATACCAAGTGTTGTAAGTTTGCATGTGGGAGTGGTGTAATGGAAAATGGCTCGGAATTGGAGATCGGAGATGCGAGTTCTGATTCCCGTCGGATTCGTTACATGCACTTACGCGCAAATACACTTGGAAAAAAGTATGAATCCGCCACTTTTCCCTCCAGCTATGGGTTAATTAGTAAAACTAATATCACTAAACTGTTATTATCTACAAAAGATTTTCTTATAAATCTAAAATATTTTCAGGCCTCAAATAACCTGAAAATCGTTGCTAAACCGTAGAAAAGGAATCAATCAAAATGGTATATTTTCAGATGGTAGCGAATGCAATCTCTTCAAAGATGATGAAGAGATCTCAATCAACAGAAATGTGGTTCTACCGAATGATGCTGAGGATACTATGGGATGAACATGTGAGCAACATCAAGGTTTTGGAGAGAATGGAAACAAAAAATAAACTTATACTTAAAATCAGTAAGAGGCAGTTGAAATTCATGGGTCAAGTAATGAGGAAGGAGGGCTTGGAAAATCTGATACTCACAGGACATTGAGAGAAAGAGAGACAAAAGATAGCAGGACGTGACATACTTGATGGGCTTGATCAAATGGCCGGCAGACCAGGGTTTGGAAGAAAGACACAAGTTATTAAGAATTACAAGGGACAGGAAGATGTGGAGAACCATGATCGTTGGTGGTGATCAAGTTGAAGGTGATCATGTTGGTGGTAATCATGTTGGAGGTGAACATATTGGTGGTGATCATGTTGGAGGTGATAATGTTGCTGGTGATCATGTTGATAGTGATCATGTTGATGGTGATCATGTTGACAGTGATTATGTTGATGGTGATCGTGTTGGTGGGATCATCTTGGAGATGATCATGTTGGTGATGGTCATGTTGATAGTGATTATGTTGATGGTGATCGTGTTGGTGGGATCATCTTGGAGATGTTAATGTTGGTGATGGTTATGTTGATGTTGATCATGTTGATGGTGATGATGTTGGTGATGATCATGTTGGAAGTGATCATGTTGGAGGTGATCATGTTGAGGGTGATCATGTTGGTGGGGATCATGCTTGTGGTGATCATGTTCATGATGATCATGTTGATGGTGATCATATTAGAGGTGATCATATTGATGGTGATCATGTTGGAGATTTTAGTTTTTAACAGTAAGTGAATGAATTTTATTACTTTTTGTTACTAAGCCTTATATATCAATGGCTTAAGTTTCATTTTTTTAAATTTAGTTCATGTTTACTGTATAGCTGGTTCCTGTAGCATAGTTTATTTATTATCATTATTACTATCTGTAACCTTGTTCACTTTTACTTATACTATGCTTAGTTTAATTTGTGTAGCAATTAAGAGGTTAGGAAAATTATTATTTAATATTCGTTTTATATTTTAGAGTTCATTATAAAGTATTGTGAATGAAGGAGATATTAACTGTGTTCTATCTATTAAAATATTTGCCTATTTTGTATCTCTAAGGGCATTTAGTGTTGTAATGAAATAGACATAAGCTTAACTTGGTTAGTTTTATAGACACAAATTTCAAATTAAAAAAAAATTGAACAAATTTGGTTTGTTGGTTGATTTTGTTTAGCAGCATATCAAATTCTATGGGTTATTTAATGCCGTAATCGAAATATTTTGAACACAATTTTATGGTTACTACAGATAAAATGTATTGTTGGTCATTTTACATAAAATATGTATCGTTAGTAATTTTTTTTATATAAAAATGCATTACTGGTATTTTTTACTATAAAATTGTATTTTTATACTTCCATAGTGTTTCGCTAATACTTGGGGTTGCACTATTTCCACATAATTGGGACCTTAACAAGGAACTAACACCCCGGATCGTGCTGGAGTTGGTATCACCGGCAATAAGGAGGTTGTGCCAGGCTCCTCAAAACCTGTCATATTCTGATCAGAGGTCTTGCTGCAGGATGAAGTTTATCTTCATATCCATGATTACCATTAACAAAGAAGTTTCGGTCTTTAATCAAAATTGTATGAATCAAATATTGCTACCTAAATACAACATATATATATATATATATATATATATATATATATATATATATATATATATATATATATATACTCTGGTAAAAAAATTTATTATGTTTAGTTGTCTGGGGAGGAAGTGTGTGTTTACGGCTATTATGGCTAATAATGCAATACTCTTCAGTAAATCGAATCAAGTTCTCTCAGTCACTGTGTGTTTATCTAAAAATAAATACGCTTAAATTGACCATCATCCCTGCCAACAGCTTAGTGATAGAATCCCTGACTGATGCCAATTCAGTCGGGTTTCGATCCTAGCTAGAGTCAACCGGACGTCTCGCCACACTGATGAGCTGTGATACAGCTATACAGTCTGTCTGTGGATGACAATATATATATATATTGAACAATAAGAAAATAAAAAAATTAAAAATATATATATATATATATCTTTAGTTTCAGTGGACTGATTTAAAATCCAACGGAACACAAAACAGCTCTTTTGCGCATTTAGTTAGCTTATGGTTTAATCCGTTGTATCTTAGAAATGATTAAAGATATCTTAATGGAATTCTCTCAGATATTTATAACTATAGCACTATTGGACTCTACATTGAGCAATAAGAATGTATTATTAGTCTCCAAGCTTAACAGAAGTGTCGTGATAAAATCGCTCATAAACGAAA